AATATCATGGTGCGAGTGATGTCAAAGAATGATGACCTTTATGAATTTTTAGTGAAGATCTAAGGTGTTTTTAGTCCTTGCTCAATGACTTGTCAACTCAGATACTCAACTTTACTTTTGGAAACTCATAGTAAGTTTTGCACTCTTTACTTTATTTTGTCAAGAGATGATATCAAAAAGAGAAAAAAAATATATCAAATTTAAGAGTATGAAAGATTGGATCAAGAAGACTTTAAATTAATGAAGGATATTCCTTTACAAATGAGAGAGAAAACTTATCTGGAGGCATATGTCGACTTTGATTGAACCATGACATGTACTTGGACTTGCCCCCTGATCCGTTTGAGTTTTTTAGTTTTCAAAATCTGAGTCATCGTCAATTGATTTATGTGCCCTTTATGCAGAGGTGTCGAGAAATGATCATCTTTGCAGATTTCATTCATGGTGTTCTCTCCCTTTATCTTAAGGTGCCCGTAGGATTTTCACCTATAAGATTTTTTTTTTGTCTTATGATGCCTATGAAGGATTTCACCGGTAAGACTCTTTTTTTTTTACTTAGTTATGGTACCCCCAAGTCGGTTGTCTGAATAAACAGAATTACAATTTGACATTATTCTATATATATATATATATATATATATATATATATATATATATATATATATATATAAATATATAAAACTAAAACAATGCCCCAGTTTTCTGAAAATACTGGAAAATTGCTTTTTTTTTTTGCTATTTTGTTTATTTGGATAAGTTTTATGTTTGGATGCTAATTGTGTTATTTCAGCAATTCATTGTTTTGATATTATATTGTATATAAAGTATTTCTCTCACACACCCTTTGAGTCTCTGTAATTTTGTTATACACTTTGTGTGCGGTTACGCTCCATAGGACTTCTGTCTAGGATGAGTCAGTGTGAGGTTATGCTCCTGATTCTACGTTGTCACACATGTTAGGCGGGGTTGGACAACCAGTTAAGCTAGAATAGCTCTACTACCGATACGTTGACCCTCCCCGACTCGAGTTGTCCGCTCGAGTAAGCCAGTCTAGACACCTTCATAAATGTTAAACCTAGATAAAATGCCTCTGGTATGCTTTTTTTTTTTTTGATCATGTACATTTGACCTAGCGAAATTTAAGATATGTATCCACGCTAGACCAAAATGTTCATTTTATATGCTATGTAAAAATAGTTGATTCAGAAGGTCTTGACATTGTTGACCATCTTCAAAATAACTTTGTGAGTTTAATTTTTTTTCTTTAAAAAAAGGTCAAATAAAAGGGATAGTCTTTCCAAGAAAAGTTTTTCTTTTATGAACTACGCACACCTGATTCTCACTAAAAACAGATACGTAGGCATCCCTTCTCGAGTTCGGTGTTTGTAAAAATTAGTGTTTTATTTTATTTTATTTTTTTTAAAAAAACTTTTTTTTGTACTTTTCTTTCATCACTCTATTAGAATTTGTCATAAAAACCTTTATTAGATTCTATTTAAAGGTAAAAATGGCACCATCGAACAAAGGACAAGGTTCAAAAAGGCCTAGAAGTGAAGGAATCCCAATGTTCATGATCGTAGATACTATACCAAAAGATTTATGGCAATGGTTGTCAGACCTGAGAAGTCATGAGAAAAAAAGAGTAAAGGAACACTTGGGGCATTTAATGCATCTTATGGAGATTGACCCTAGAAGGGATGTGGTCGAGACATTGATTCCTTTTTGGGATCCCAAAAATAATGTATTTTGTTTTTCCGACTGTGAGATGACACCAACTTTGAAAGTAATTGCCGGTTTCATGGAGAAGGGGTCTACTGTTCGAGGTGCTGATCTACGCAATAAAAGACCCATAATTCCGAAACCTGTTGATGCCAAAAAATTCCTAGAACTGCTCAAAATTAATCAAATAGAAAAAGAGAGTTTGAAAAATGAGTGGGTCTCATTGGACTTTCTATACCAGAGATACGGTCAAAGGGATGGATTCAAGAACAATCGAAACTAGTTAAGTAGTCAAGGGGATAAAGAGGCTTGGAAGACAAATAAATGTTTTGCTTTTATGATCGCATTTTTGGGCTCATTATTTTCCCCAAAAGGGACAAACATTTTGATATTCGTCTGGCTGGTTTTGTGAAGGCGTTGACCACAATGGAAAGTCCAACTATTATTCCTATGATCCTGGCAGATATATTTCATACATTGACTAAATATTTAAGTGGGTAAATGTACTTTGAAGGCTGTAATATTTTCCTCCAAATATGGTTTTTGGAATACCTTTATCACCATGATCGTGAGCCTAGGTTTACTCCAGATTGGTGCAACTATGTTTCCTCTCATAAGGAAAGGGAAGCCAAAATTGATTATCCAAAAGGAATCATAGCGTGTGAAAAAAAACTTACAACGTTCACATCTGATGAAATAGTGTGGAACTATTACTGGTTCCCAGCTAAGGATATCATTTGCATGACTAGTGGTATCTCATTTCTTGTATTGATTGGTCTTAGAGGTGTTCAACCATATGCCCCACTTCGGGTTATGCGCCAACTAGCCAGAGTTCAAGAAATCTCACCCAATGATGATATGAGAAGGTTTGCATATGACACTCCATCAGGTTTTGCTTTTAATAGCGAAAAGATTATGAAGATTTGGTATGGGAGTATTATTTCTAAGCTAAGTGAAATGGTTGTGGAGAAAAATAAAGGAAAGGTGGTTCCTGGGTACCTATCGTGGTTTCGTGATCCAATGACATTTGGTGACACTCCCGAAGGATTTAGCAGAAAAAGAAGAGATCAACATATTATAAGACATTTGAAAAAAGAGTCGTAGAATGCCAAATCAACCATTAGAGGGAAAGAAGTACAGGTCCAAATAGGAAAAAATCACAAGTTAGAGTTGCAAGATATGGAAGGAGAATTGAAGCATGCAGAGGTAAGATTAGCCCGTTTGGAGGAAGAAATGCATAGTAGAATCCATTTGGCACGACAGATAAAAAAGGAGCAGAGTTTTGAGATCTCTCGATTGAAGAGGGACTTAGTGGCATCCGAAGAGGTCGTGCACTATCAAAAGGGAGAACTTAGCCATAAGGAAAAATTTGAGAAAGAAAGATCGTGTTGGAAAGACAACTGATCATCGAGAGAGCAATACTTCGCCATCAACTTGAAGCAATAGAAGCGCGAGAGGCCCTCTTGAGAAATAATTTGGGTGATGATCAAGCTTTGTTAAACTACTGTCATCAAAACATGGGAACGACTAGACATCCAGTTCATCAATTAGCAGAGCAAACCTCCTATGTTATTAAAAATCAGCGTCGTATGAATGATCAAGAAGTGGCTGAGCAAGCACGAACCATTGTTCTCCATCTGCCAAAGGTGTTGCCGAATTTGTACGAGACCTTGGGAGGAAAAAAAGAAAAACCCCAAGAAAGTGATGAAGATTGAAGAGAAGTTTTATTTGTTTTTTTGTTGTTCGTTTCATTTTGTTTGTTGAAAGACTTGGTTTTCAGTTTAAGATTTGGTGTTTAAGGAAATTATGTTGATTCAGGTTGTGTTTAAACCTTTTGATTTTGTTGCTTTCTTGATGTTTTGGCGAATGAATTCCAAATTAATCTTTTGGAGTTGTTTAAATCTTTGAACTACATAATGATCTGATTCATGCAGTAACAGCCAACCTCTTAAGGGTCCGATCATAATTTCTTTTTCAAAACTTTTTCTTTTTCCAAAAAAAAGGACAATAAGCAAAGCAAAGATGGGATGAAACAATGGCCTTCTGAACCCATGTTACTATGTTATTAATAAGTGTGTGATTGATTTATAAAATTGTCTAACCCCTAATAAGTTTGTTCATTTCACATTAACTCTAGTTAGCTCTCGGTAATTGGTTTGTGGTAAACTGGTAGAGCACCCGTTCTTTACCAGGTCTAAGGTAAGAGCGTCAATGACAATCAATACTGAAACTATGGTGAATCCAACGGATACTCCAATTGATTCAACAACAAGTGAGACAGTCACTGTTGAACATAATCGGATGTTGAGACATATTATGCCATAATTGTGGCAAGCCTGGTCCAATGGACAAGAACCACCAACGTCTATTCCTTGTTTTCCTGAGATCACTAGTATCCGATCTTCATCTTGTTAGGTTCCAATATCAGAACCTTTCTTCCCTCCAGCGTATGGTCCTTTGTATAATTGTGGGGCTGGGCCATAACAACACATCCTCAAGGCATGCCATTCTTGAATACTCCCATTGTCACAAAAGCTGCACCGGTTTATACACTCCCACAACCGACTGTGACGCAAAGAGCAGCTCAAGAGGGAAAGTTCACCACTCATCCGGAGTAGTACTAAGTTCACCACTCATCCGGAGTACTATACTTTTGGAATAGTATTTGGGGGCCCTAACTCTGTTCAATTTGGCTCCCACATTGATGTTGAGAGGCCCACTCCAGGCTCAGAGCAAGAAGAAATGTTGAAAAAAATGAAAAGCATCGAGCAACACATGAAGAGCATGCAAGGGTTAGGAAGGCACAAAAGTGCCGCATCCAAAGACTTGTGTATGTTCCCAAATGTCTACCTTCCACCTGGGTTCAAAACCCCTAAGTTTGATAAGTATGATGGACACGGTGATCCCATAACCCACCTTAAGAGATATTGTAATCACCTTCGGCGTGCAGGGGGTAAAGAAGAATTGCTCATGACTTATTTTGGTGAGAGCCTGACTGGTGTTGCCTTAGAATGGTTTATCGTCCAAGAGATTTTCCACTGGCACATATGGGATGATATGACTCAAGATTTTGTTAGACAATTTCAGTACAATGTTGATATTATGCCAGATCGTAATACACTCTCCAATACAAGAAAAAAACAAGTGAAAACTTCAGAGAATATGCTATCAAATAAAGGGAACATGCAGCCCGAGTCAATCCCCCATTAAATGAGCAAGAATTGGTTGATATCTTCAAAGAGGCTCAAAATCCTGACTACTTCCACCACCTCACAGTCGCAATGGGAAGACCGTTTCACACAACAATCAAAATTGGGGAAATGGTCAAAAGTGGTCTCAAAGAAGGAAGGATCGTGATCGAGGCAACAATCAAAGCTACCACACAGGACATTCAAGGTGGTTCAACAAGTTTTGGAAATCGTAAAAGGAAAGAAGAAGTTATTTCACTGGCATCAAGGTCAAGTGGATCTCAGAGAAAGTCTAATTGTCCTTACACATCAGTTCAAAGACAACTTAGCTATCCTCAGCATTACTACCCTTATGCCTCTTAATATCCAGTATCTCCATCTCCGTAAACGGTCTTAAATTCTCAGTCATATGTGCATCCTCCCAATCGCCCACATTTTCGGGGCCCATCTCAAGGAAACTTTCTCCCACAACGGCCACCCTATAAGGTCCCTTACAACTCTCCTCTTATGCCGAATTATGCTCAAGATCAAGCACAAAAAAAGAAATTCACTCCAGTGGAAGAGTCGTACTCCAGCTTGTTTCAAAAGTTAAGAAATATAGGAGCGATTGAGTGTATCCCACCACATCGTCTGAATCCAAATGCTCCAGGTTTCCAAGCTAATGAAAGATATGAATACCATTCAGGAGCGCCAGGAAACAACACTGATAATTGTTGGACCTTGAAGGGAGCAATAGAGAAGCTGATCGAGCATGGAGTTGTTGTTGTGACAGATGATCAAAACACTCCCAATGTGACCAATAACCCACTTCCAGCTGAAAACAACTTAGTGGGTATGGTTTGTGATGATCAAGAGTACAAACTCTTCAGCAAAATAGGTAAGTTGTTTAGGAAGATTGGAGAAGAAGACAAGTCAATGAAGAGTTTAAAACCAGTTCCATCTCTGAGTGTGGAAGGTGTCAATCTTGACACCAAAGTCTTGTGCATCCCGGGGGTTTCAAAGGGGATTGAAGTTCGAGAAGATATGCCAAAGTTGTATGTATCAAAAGGCTTTTCATTAACACAACATGACCAAAGTGGCTTGACCAAGTTGAAAGAGCCTATTTTTGTTAAGCCCGTCCAACAGCTTCCAGTAATTGATTCAAAGGTTGTCCCTTGGAACTATAACAAAACCGCAGTGGTTTATCGAGGAAATGAGATTGTCGAAGAAGTTGATGAAGCGGGGGGTTTGACACGCTCAGGAAGATGTTATTCTCTAGAAGAATTAAGAAAAGGGAAGATGACTGAAAATATTCAAGTACCACTAAAGAAAGCAGTTACTGAAGAAGAAAATGTAGGATTTCTTAAAAAACTTAAGGTTCCAGATTACTCTGTCGTGGATCAATTGAAGAAGACGCCTGCACATATTTCACTGTTGTCTCTACTTTTGCACTCAGAAGAACATTGTCTTGTGTTGAATAAGGTTTTGAATGAAGCACATGTGCCAAAAGAGACCATAGTAAATCAGTTGGAGAAACTTTCACTAATGAGAGTTGCCCAAGGAGGGAGCTGGACACAACAAAGCTTTGCATCTTATAGTGACATGTGAAGGTTACTATGTAAAGAGGGTCATGATAGATGGAGGGTCAGGAGTAGACATATTTCCTTTTTCTACGCTTCAAAGCTTGAAAGTTAACACTGACAGAATTTGCCCCAGTAATGTATTTGTGCGAGCTTATGACGGCTCAAGGAGGGATACCATTGGTGAAATCAAGTTAAGCATGACAATTGGGACAGTAGACTTTATGATTGTGTTCCAAGTAATGGATATGGAAACATCTTATAATTTTCTACTAGGGAGGCCATGGATCCACATGGCTCGAGCTGTCCCATCAACTCCACAGCAAGTTGTCAAGTTTGAATACAACAATCAGGAAATCACTGTTCATGGGGAAGATGATTCACCTATTTACAGATATTCATCCGTCCCATACATTGAGGCGAAGGAAGGATGTGATTCTATTGTTTACTAGTCTTTGGAGATTGTATCAGTCGATCACTTTAAAGAAGGAGAATCTATCATCCAATCATGTATCTCTTCTTCTGCTTCAATGGTAGCAATGACGATGCTCAAATATGGTTATCAACCCGGTAAAGGTTTGGGAGTATATTTGCAAGGAATCGTGGATCCCATTACTCTCTTAGGAAACCAAGGCACCTCTAGCCTTGGATACAAACAAAGCAAGAGAAATGAAGATGAACCATAAAAGGATTGATTGGTCGTTTCCACAAATGATTCTCTATATTTATCATTCTTTTATCAAACCTCAGGGTCAAGAATTGAAAGATTTAATCACTATTGAAGACACTGAAGGAGTTATTGAGGATCTCAGTCAGTTGTTTTGTGAAGTAAATATGTTCCAAGTTGGTGAAGGTATAAGTCATACCAGTATGCAGCTCGTGGGCTCAGGTGTTGGGTTAAGCAATTGGGAAGCCACTCCTTTCCCTATAAGAAAGGAGTCGTGGTAGCTTGTTTTGCTACTCTTTTGTATTTTATTATTTCAGGGTTGTGGCCCGAATAGTTCAACATATTTTGTTATTGTCAACCCTATTGTCCTTGTTTGATGTCAATGAAATGAAATTTCAGTTTCATAGTAAATTATGTATTTTTTCCTCCCTTAATTCTTATTCTCTAGTTTTCAGTTCTATAAATGATGGCTTTGATAACATGACATGCATGCGAAATTCACTCCCTGATTTCAAAGAGTTATTTATTCTTGAATCACCAAGTCAAGGGGTGGAATATGATGAAGAAGAGGCTTTTAGGGAAATTAATAGGGAACTGGAACAGTTTGAGCACAAACCAAAGCCTAATCTTAGTGAAACTAAGACAATCAATTTGGGAAGTTCTGATAAAAATAAGTTTACATATCGATCAGGAAATTAGAGAGGCAATAATACAACTTTTCTTTGAATATAAAGATGTATTTGCTTGGTCTTATGATGACATGCCAGGTTTGAGTGTTGATTTAGTGGTTCATAAGTTGCCTGTTTATCCTGATTTTCCACCTGTCCAACAGAAAAGAAGAAATTTTTAATGGGATGTGAGTGAAAAAATCATGGAAGAAATAATGAAACAACTGAATGCAAAGGTGATACAAGTTATTCGTTACACTACTTGGTTGGAAAATGTTGTTCCTGTGCCGAAAAATGATGGAAAGACAAGAGGTTGTGTTAACTATCGGGATTTGAACAAGGCTAGTCCAAAAGACAACTTTCCTTGCCAAATATCCACATCCTAGTTGATAATTGTGCAAAACAGGAGATGAAATCTTTTGTGGACTGTTATGCGGGCTATCATTAAATCTTGATGGACGAAGAGGACACTGAGAAAATTGCTTTCGCCACTCCATGGGGAACTTATTCCATGATATGATGCATAAATAAATTGAAGTATACGTTGATGACGTAATCATCAAATCAAAAACACAAGTTGATCATGTGCAAGATCTGAGAAAATTCTTGGAAAGAGTGCAAAGATATTACCTCAAGATTAATCCAGCAAAATGTGCATTTGGAGTTCCATTTGGAAAACTTCTGGGTTTTATTGTCAGTAGAAGGGGAATCGAATTGGATCCCTCCAAAATAAAAGTCATTCGAGACTTTCCATCCCCAAAAAATAAGACCGAAGTCATGAGTCTACTTGAGAGGTTGAACTACATCAACAGGTTTATTGCTCAACTCGCAACCACATGTGAGCCCATTTTCAAACTTTTGAAGAAGGATGCTGCTGCCAGATGGACATAAAATTGTCAAAGAGCTTTTGAAAAAATCAAGGAGTATTTGTCCATCCCCCCCACCTCCGTGTTGGTACCGCCTGAACCTGACAGGCCTCTCTTTCTATATCTTTCAGTAACAGATAATTCCTTTGGGTGTATTCTCGGGCAACATAATGCTACAGGAAGGAAGGATTAGGCTTTTGGAAAGGACGTGTTGTGCCCTAACTTGGGTAGCTCAAAAGTTAAGGTTACTTATTGTCCTACACAACGTAACCTCATATCAAGGATGTATACTTTAAAGTACATCTTTCAGAAGCCAATGTCAACTGGCAGACTCGCGAAATGGCAAATTTTGCTCACTGAATTTGACATTATATATGTCATTCGCACTGCAATGAAAGCCCAAGCTTTGGCAGACCACTTGGCAGAGAACCCAGTCAATAGTGATTACGAACCATTGGTTACATATTTTCCAGATGAAGAGATTAACTCAATTGAGGAAGTAGGTTCAAATGGAAATCAAGCCTGGCAATTGTACTTTTATGGAGCAACCAACACAAAAGGCACAGGGATTGGGGCAATTTTAATATCCCCCACAGGGCAACATTACCCTGCAACAGCTCAACTTCGCTTCTTTTGTACAAATAACACGACTGAGTATGAATTAATTGTCAATATGGCAATAGATTTGGGTGTGCAAGAATTAATTGTGTTAGGATATTCTGATTTGCTTATCCGACAAGCTCAAGGCGAATGGAAAACTCGAGACCTCAAGATCCTTCCATGTAGACAATGTGTGGAAGATCTTAGCAAAAGGTTCATGTACATCGAGTTTAGATGCATCCCCAGGTTTCATAATGATTTGGCCGATGCCTTGGCTACTTGAGCCTCAATGCTTCCCTATCCTGGAAACACTTACATCACCCCATTAGAGATTCAAGTTCGGGACCAACATGGCTATTGTAATACAGTGGAAGAAGAACCTGATGGTGAGCCATGATAATCAGACATCAAGAATTTTTTGAATACATGGATATTGCCCGAACATGCCAACAGAATCCAAAAAGAACTATTAGACGTTTGGCTAATGGTTTCTTTTTAAGCGGGGATGTTTTGTATAAACGAACTCCAGATCTGAATTTATTGAGATGTTTGGATGTTGAAGAAGCCGAGAAAATTATGAATGAAGTGCACGCTGGGGTACGTGGACCACACATGAACGGATATGTCCTTGCAAAAAAGATAATCTGGGCGGGGTATTATTGGCTTACCATGGAAAGGGATTGCTTTCACTTTGTGAAAAAATGTCATCAATGTCAAATCCATGGAGATCTCATTCATTCACCTCATTCAGAGTTGCACCCTATGGCTGCTCCTTGGCCCTTTGTTGCATGGGGAATGGATGTAATTGGACCAATTGATCCAAAATACTCTAATGGACATCGATTCATTTTGGTTGCAATTGATTACTTCACCAAATGGGTGGAGGCGATAACTTTCAAAGCAGTCACTAAGAAAGCGGTCTTGGATTTTGTTCATTCAAACATTATTTGTCGATTTGGTATCCCAAGAGCTATCATCACAGCTAATGCTGCAAACATCAATAGTAATCTGATGAAGGAGATATGCGAGCAGTTCAAAATTGTGCACCACAATTCTACTCCATACCAACCAAAAGCCAAAGAAGTTGTGGAGGCAGCCAACAAGAATATCAAAAAGATTCTCAGAAGGATGGTTCAAGGCACTAAACAATGGCATGAGAAGCTGCCTTTTGCACTTTTAGGATATCGCACAACAGTGCGCAACTTGATTGGTGCAACTCCTTATTTACTGGTGTATGGAACTGAGGTTGTGATTCCAGCGGAAGTCAAAATTCCATCTCTTCGAATTATTATCGAGGCTGAAATTGAAGATACTGAATGGGTCAAAACCCGACTAGAGCAACTCGCATTAATAGATGAGAAACGATTGACATCTGTCTGTTTAGGTCAGCTTTATCAGCAAAGGATGGCTCGTGCATACAACAAAAAGGTGCACCCAAGACACTTTGAAGTAGGTCAAATGGTCTTAAAGCGCATTCTCCCGCAACAACAAGAAGCCAAGGGAAAGTTTACCCCAAATTTGCAAGGTCCATATCTTATCAAGGAAGTATTGTCAAAAGGAGCCCTGCACCTTACTGATGTGGAAGGAAAAATCGCGGGCATAGTTGTTAATGCAGATTCAGTCAAAAGATACTACATCTAATGCATTCTAAGGTTATGCGACAAGTTTGGGGTTGAAAGAACAAAGGCAACTCTTAAAAAAATCTCTCTTTGAAAAATTTTGAACTACGTTTGACCTGACTCCAAAAGGATACGTAGGAAAACCTTTACGGGTTCGGTCATATAAAAAAATCAGTTTTCCAGTATTTACAAAAAATTGGGGCATTGTTTATATATATATATATAGAATAATGTCAGATTGTAATTCTGTTTATTTTGGCAACCGACTTTTTGATCAAATCTGAAAATGATATTAATCATCAAAGGCAACATCGGAAAAAAAAAAGAAAAAAAACTTATGAGTGAAAACCCTTGGGGGTACCATAAGTAAGTAAAAAAGAGAGAGAGAGTCTTATCGGTGAAAACCTTCATAGGCATCATAAGACGGAAAAAATAATAATAAAATCTTATAGGTGAAAATCCTACGGGCACCTTAAGATAAAGGGAGAGAACACCATGAATGAAATCTACAAAGATGATCATTTCTCGACACCTCTGCATAAAGGGCACATAAATCAATTGATGATGACTCAGATTTTGAGAACTAAAAAACTCAAATGGATCAGGGGGAAAGTCCAAGTGCATGTCATGGTTCAATCAAAGTCGACATATTCCTCCAGATAAGTTCTCTTTCTCATTTTTAAAGGAATATCCTTCATTAAGTTTAAAGTCTTTTTGATCCAATCTTTCATACTCTTAAGTTTGATATTTTTTTTCTCTTTTTGATATAATCTCTTGACAAAACAAAGTAAAGAGTGCAAAACTTAGGGCCCGTTTGTCCATAAATGTTGCAAGTAAAACTTTGGGAAAAACTTGGCAAATTTTGTTTGTCCATACACTTTTTTATTATTTGGCAAATTTTCCAAATTTCCAAATACTAGAAAAAACTAGTATTTGGGCCAAATTTCATTATTTGGAAAGTTTTAAAAATTTAATTTTTACCCTTAACTTTTTATTTTACAAAAATAATATATTTATTAATACCAACCAATTCAATTATCTCCCATCTGCAAACTACCTCAATTAAATTATCTCCCATTTGCCAACTACCTCAATTAAATTATCTCCCATCTGCATATACATACATGGTCTATATTTATCCAAAAAATTAGTTGAACAACCAAAAGCTTTGTGGCAGTACTCACTGGAGAAACAAATTGAAGGTAATTTGTAAAAATCTACATATTTTTTCTTATAGTGAATTTTGTTTAGATTGAACTTGCTTGAATTGATTTTTATGAATATCTTCTCTTGTCTAGGTTTAAGAGTTACGAACGATAAAAATATTTTCTCCTTGTGTTTTATTTTTTCATTCGACTGGCGCAACTAATTTTTCGGGCTTGTTTGTTAAGTTTTGTAATGTCCATTATTCCTGAAGCTAGTTTTGAGATTTCTGACGAGAACTCTATGACTTCACCTTTTCCGGTTAATAGGGTAATATACTTTCAATCGTGTTCGTAGGTCTTTCATTTTTAGTAAAGACATGCTTTCAAATTTTGTGCACTCTAAAAAAAATTAAGTTATGCATATGATGTGTTGTCATGTTGATGTTGTATTGTAGAAACGTAAAAAAATGAATAAATCACGTGGTTCAGCGGCTGATAAATGGACTGATGAAGAAACATCTATCCTTATAAGTGTCTTGTATGATGACGCGAGGAAGTCCAGATTTAAAGGTTATGCCATCAGTGGTCCACGATTAATAGAAGTTAGGAAAGAGTTTTTTGAGAAAATTGGAAATCGAGATAAGTTTGATGATGAGAGAATTAAGTAAAAGATTCAACGATTAAGGGAAGACACAAAAACCTTCAAGGATCTCCTTAGTTCTTGCTCTGGATATGGATGGAACCCTACAACTAACACAATTACATGTCCATCTCATATTTGGTCGGAGCATGTAGCGGTAAGTTTGGGAGATAACAAAAGTACTTATATTCTACCTTTACACATATCGAGCTAACATTATGTTCATTTTTTTCTCAGCAAAAGAAAAAGAAGAAAATATATATTTCCAAGTACAGATACCATGGTCTTAAAGATTATGACACACTGGATGAAATTTTTGGAAACTCATTTGCTACCGGGGACCATGTCATGTATAGTACAAATCCTAATCTTCCACCAAAGTCAAATGAAGTTATTGTTGAGGAGTATGAACCTTTTGATGGTGATGATGAGCATGTTGCTACTGTAAACACATGTCAACCTATGTCTCGAAATACTGGTAGTGGTTCTGGTAGTGCAAAGAGAACTTTAGAACCTTCTGAGGGTGGAACATCTACGCGTCGTAAAAAAAGGTCGTGCTACAAATTTTAACCAATCCCATGATTACTTTAGAGAACACTTGGAGTGGAAAAGAAACAAAGCAGAAGCAAAAGAAAGAAGAAAGCAGGAAGAGGAACAAGAACGAGCAGCAAAAGAAAATGAAATTGATGTCTACTCTGAGGCAGCTGTCACCGTTCACTTACAATTTATTTTGGAAAAACATGATTTAGTTAACAAAAGTTTTTCACCAGCTGTGACTTACTTGCTTAACCCCAGCTTTCGCAAGATATTTGTTCACATGACTGAAAAAAATCAAGTTGAATGGTTTAAAGACTTGCAAAAAGATTAAGCCTTGCGTTATTTTCATGGTGTTATATTATAGTCTAATGCGTAAATTAAAACATCAAAGTTAATTATTTCTGTTGCACTTCGTTGTGATGTAGACATGAATATTTGTGTAATGACTTCTTATGTGTTATTAACTTTCTTTTTAATGAATGAGTTTTCAAAAAAATTTATGAGATGTACATATGTTATCTTCTATGTATGTTTAGTTTCATTTATTAAAATCTTCTTAATTCTAGAACATCTTTTTTTCAGTGTATCTTTGTCTTTTATACATCTTCTCACATATGTTTTTGTGGTTTTCTCAGGTTTAAGTGTTGATCAGTAGATCAACCTTTTGAAGAGTTACGACATATTAAGGGATACTCATGATTCATATTTGATTTTCAAGTGTTAGTGACCCATCCTTTCAAGTGTAATATTAAGTTGAAAAATTATGAGCATTTCCAGTAGTGATACCACTAGTTCAGACAGTGACAGTGACGATTACATTATGTTTTGTGCTATAGTTGATCATACTGAACAGGTTGTACGAGAAAGTAGGCTATTATCTCGCCAACCGCAGCATACATCTAGACCTGGTATGGCATGGGTTGTTGATCTACTTCGGGGACATCGTATGCGTATGTATGAATCTATGCGTTTTTATCCTGAAACATTTGAGCATCTTATCAAAGTAATAAGACAAAATAATTTGTTATCATCTGATGGTAGAACCACACATGTTCTATTAATGGAGTCTGTAGCTATTTTCCTAACTGTTGTTGCACGTAATGATAGTCAACGATCAGTAAGTGAATGTTTTCAACATTTACTCGAGACAATTAACCGCCATGTTAGAAGAGTTGCTGAAGCACTTTGTCAGTTGGCGCCAACATATGTATATCTAAAAAATATGATCGGTGTACATGCAAAAATTCGCCACAACAATCGCTTTTGGCCTTGGTTCAAGGTAAACTGACTTTTCGAACATTCTTTTCAACTAAAAATATAAAATTAGGAGTGTATTCTCTAATGGTGTTGTTGCTACAGTTGATAATATTTATGTTTGCCTTTTGATAGGATTGTATTGGTGCAATTGATGGAACATATATTCAAGGGGAAGTCCCAAGAAATAAGCAACAAGCATATCGTAATCGTAAAGGAAATACTTCACAAAATGTTTTATGTGCATGCGATTTTGACATGAGGTTCACCTTTATCGCAGCAGGCTGGGAGGGTACTGCCCATGATAGTAAAGTGCTTGAGAATGCAATTCTTGACTCATCGGCCAACTTTCCATTTCCATCACATGGTATATAAATTAGTAGCTCTATTTTTACTCAATATAAGAAAATTTACTCAATATTTTATTTTGGTAGATAAATATTACGTTGTTGATGCTGGTCTATGGAACACAAGAGGATTTTTAGCTCCATTCAAAGGAATGCACTATCATTTGCAGGACTACCGAGGAAGTGAAAGAGAGCCTAAGAATGGAAAAGAGCTATTTAACTATAGACATGCTTCTCTGCGCAATGTAATTGAAAGAACTTTTGGTGCGTGGAAAAGTAGATTCAGAATACTAAGACAAGGCATGAACAATTATGAATGTGACATGCAAGTGAAAATAGTAATTGTTTGCGCTGTATTGCATAATTTTTTACATGAACACCAAAGTAGTGATGGAATATTCAATGAATATGAAAATGATGATATGGTTGTTGATGAAAGTGACGAACTATTGGCTCAGGGAAACAACATCGCTTCATCTTCTCGATCATCTGATTCGGAAATGCAAGCTCATCGAGAAGAGATTGTTCATAAAATGTGGGAAGATTATATTAAAGAATAGGTTGAACTCTTTCAGATGAGAAAGCATAGGTTCTTCAGTGATTGCAATATTTATTTCCTTTTGTTTTCTTCTCTTTTTTTTCCCGAATTTATATTAGTTGTATTTTCATTATCATGATTAGTACCAAGACCTTTTCACTATACGAATATTTACTGTAATGATTCTTGTTAATTTGTTGCGGAAGTCATAAATATTGTTACATGAGACTTCTATTATGCTATGTAATACAAATTTATGGTTAGTTTGATAGTTTTAAAAACTTATGGGTATAAATCATATTTCTTAAAAAAATGAAATATGTTTCTCAAATTCTATGGCCAAACCCATGGTAAAATTTCACCCAAATTTTCATCCAAATAATATTTGCCAAAAATATTTGAATATCTATGGCCAAACACTAGCTTACTACGGGTTTCCAAAAGTAAAGCTGAGTATCTGAGTTGTCAAGCCATTGAGCAAGGACGAAAAACACCTCAGAACTTCACTAAAAATTCATAAAGGTCATCATTCTTTGGACATCACTCGCACCATGATATTTGGTAGTACCAAAAGATCAAGGCCTTTGGTTAATAAAGAGGGAGCTTCAAAGGTGCTTAACCAAGGAGTTGTAGTAGAGTTGGAGAAATTGGTCGTGAGTATGGTCAAGTCGTTGGAGAACCAAGGACACAACCAACCACCACTTTAAACATCACGAAAAGGAAGATCTCCAAAGTCTTCAAATTTTTTGTGTTTCATTTCATTCTACTCGCATTTTTGCCTATTAATGCGAGAGTTTCGGGAATTACGCTCCAATCTGAATTCCGTGAAATATGCACATGTCCTTCATTCATGGGCAATACGCACCATTTTTTGTTCATATGCAATACGCACTTGTCTGAATTTCGTGCAATACGCACCAATCTGAATTCCGTGCAACAAGCACACATCCTTTAATTATGGGCAATACGCACCAATTGGAATTCATGTGCAATACGCATCAATATGAATTTCGTGCAAAACACACACATCCTTTATTCATGGGAAATACACACCATCTTTTGTTCATGTGCAATACACACCTGTCTAAATTTCGTGCAATACGCACCAATCTCAATTTCGTGCAACAAGCACACATCATTTATTCATGGGCAATACGCACCATCCTGTGTTCATGTTCAATACGCACCAGACTGAATTTATGTGTAGTGCGCACCAGTCCTTATTCACATGCAATACATATCAATTCTCTATTCATGGGCAATACGCACCAGATGCATATCTGGAGCAATACGCACCAACATTCATAGGTTATACTCACCCTATTCACATTTTGGGGCTTTATCCAATCTTAGGACAATGCGTCTTATTTGGAACTCTCAGGGCAACACGCCTCACTTAACCTATTCATTCTAGGATTATACTTCCTAGTTCAAGATTCTCATATGTTTCATTTATTCTAAAGGAAACATATTCTTCATGGGTTCTTCATTTTGTGATCTTGAGTTTTGAGTTTCAACAACCAACTCAAGTTAAAACATGAACTTAAGAATGATTCACCAGCCGCCAAGACAACATGAAGATCGATCTTAAAGATAATGCAGAGAGAAAGTGAAAGATCTAGACAAGATCCTAAGAAGATACATCAATTAGGGATCTTGTAACATTTATAATGTAGAGAGACATAGTTCTCTAACTTTTTTTCTTTGTAACTATAGGTAGTAGATGATGACAAGCAATATGAAGCAATCTTTTGGCTATTGTTTCTGATAGTTTCGGCTATCAAAGTTTCTAGAACTACACTGATCTGATTTCCTTTTAATTAAGGATATGTAGGCAATCTCTGAAGAAGGTTCGGTCATCTTTTTCAAAATGGCTTCATCGGAGTTTGAAACAGTCAAAAATTAGCCACTTCGTTCACTTTCTTTGCTCGAAAACTCTTCATGTTTCCAAGCAAAGAGGGGCATGCTGTGAACACCTAACTTTTGACGTGTTTATTTTACTCCTATAATATTTTAGTAAGGAATTTTATTTTTATTTGTATTTTGGGTGTTTGTTTTTATTATTTTATTGGCTAAAATGACCAATTTTGTTTAAATTGGATTGATTTAGATCAATTTTGATGGCCCAATTGATTTTGACCCGATCAATAGAAATGGTCAAGATTGAATCTCAACCATTCATGATATTTTGATCCAAGGCCTATTATTGGACCCAAACACAAATACAAAACTCCAAAAAAATAGCATTTTTTTATTTTTTTTATATTTTTCTTCTTCCCCTTACTACCATGCTACCGGCCAACCACCGCTGTCACCATCACAGCACGGTGGCCACCACCTTTTTGGCCGAAAAAATCTTTAAAATTTTACATCTTTTCCTTTCACCCTCCTCTACCTAAATCTACAAACCTTTCATCCATATCTATAGCCAAACTCCGTAGATCCAAGGAAAACCAAACATTAATTTTTACTTTTTTCCTTTGATTTATAAAGTTCCGGTCATTCTCATCCCAAACCCTTTACATAAATGTGTAGAGCTCTTCAAGGGCTATCATTTGATATAAATTTTAAGTTCAAAATCCGTCAAATAATTTTCGGGCAAAGTTTTCCGACGACCTTTATTTACCCAGAAATTATGTCAATCTTTCCTCCCCCCCCCCTCCTCTCAATCTTTATCCAAATTCATCATTATCTTTTTTCGTTTGACCATATAAGTCGTTTGATGTCGAATTTGTATTATTAATGTTCTTTAAGTTTATCATGTTGATAATTTGCTTGAAGTATTATTATTATTATTTTTTTTATTATTTTATTCATTTTATGTTTATTATTTTTTATTTATTTTTTCTGCATTATTTTGTTATGTTTGATCTTTAAAATTGTTTAGATATTTAGATTTTGTGTTAGTGGATCAATTTGTTTGGGTCTTCATGAAATGGGTCAACATTTGGGCCTATTTTAGATTTTTTCAGATGACCCATCAGCTATTATTCAAACAATGAATAAAAGAAATGGGTCATCTACATGACATTTGGGCCTTTTATTTTCAGATGACCCATTAACTATTATTCAAACAATGAATAAAAGTAAGGAAAATTGTATATAATAGCAAACTAATAAAATTAAATGGAATAGCTAGGGTTTGATTTAATTGTGCTCCATAGCAAACGTTGACAAAAATTTGTCAGGCGTCTCTCTTCCAAAAGTCTTGCTCGCCACTCTCCAATTCTCGACTCTCTCGCTTTATACACAGAAGTGTATAA